GACATGGATCTGGCCAGATCTGGGACACTGTTAATTCTAGCCACTGGAATTAGGTCAGACCCTTTCCTCTCCCAACTCCCTTCACCCCACTGCTTCCTCTAACTTTTGGCTTCTGCCATTGAAAAGATCAATTTGCTTCTTAGCTGAAAAAGAAGGAATGATTGTGTAGAGGTGGTAGTGGAGGAAGGGCTGTGGGGAGAGAGGGAATAAGATTTGGGCCATGGGAGGCAGGAGCTGTTTGAAGCCTGGAGGACAAAGACCTGTGCACACTCTCTTTCTCTCCCTCTCTGGTTGGGAATGGGGGACCCTCCTTATCTTGGTATCCACACCCAGTGTGGCCTAGAAAGCCACAGCAGAGCTGCAGAGCTGACCACATACAGCACTATAGCCACATGGTGTCCTTAGAAGGACACAGCATTGCTGGCAATATCCAGATGTCCTCCCATCAAATGGCTCGTGGGCAGTGGACACAGTGAGGAGGCCTATGGAGACGAACATGATGGACTCCTAAGCACTATTACCACTGGGAGTCTCTGACAGGTAAGGGGGACATCACCGGGGGGCCAAAGCCTTAGAAGAGCAGTGCCGCAGTCTGGCTGGGCACAAAATCACGAGCCACCACACCTTGTAGATTCAAACAGCAACTCTTTATTCCCGAACTCACCCCGGCACTCTACAAACACGTTCTGGGGGAAATCACGTTCTGCCAAAATCACGTTCTGGGCAAAATCCCAAATATTCTCTGAATCCCAGAGAACTCAAAGGGAACTCAACGAGCAGGCGTGCCTGAGGCAGCAGGATACGCCCTATTCCCAGCAGGGTACACCTTAAACCTGGAACCGCCCTAAACCCGGATTGTCCTAAACCGGAACGCCCTAAAACCTATCCGCCCTAAACCCGGATCCGCCCTGGTCCTTGAGCAAGGTCACCTTACATGCAATGTCACTGCAAATGAACTGGGTCATGCCATGCGTCATTCTTACTTAGCAATGGCCCTCAGCAGAGCAGAAAATACTGGGGATGAGATTCAGATGTTAATATCTGATCCTTATTTACATCCAATGGCTGGTTAAACCTGGAGCAGTTCCACCACAGAGTTCAATCCACAGCTACCCACTGGGGTGGCCAGGGGATGTTCCTCTCCCTGCCTGTTTCCAAGGGTTACTTCTGGGTTCCTATCCTGTGGCCTGAAGTCTTGAAGACAGAACTCCTGGATTGGAGACTTAGCCTCTTGGTAACCAAGGAAAGAATAAGTTTGTCTGAATGAATTGACAATCTCTAGAGCTGCCAAGGATGGATCCCTAGAAATGGCAGCTTCCAAGGAGGATGCTAATTGAAAGGTACTGGCTGTAGGGAAGCCATCTGGTGACTCGTGCAGGACATAGGGGTCAGTGGACAGTCGGGATCCTTCTTTCTGTCCACAACCCTGGCCTAGCGGGGGCAGGGAAGCACCACTGTGCCAGGCTCCTCTTCCCTCCCATTCCTGGCTGAGATTTGGGATAATGTTGATATTTCTGCTCTCCTGCAGGTGGCGCCACAATGTAGGTTTTCGAGCCGGCAGCCGGCCTGAGGTTTCATCCCGAGCCCTGCAGGCCCAGTCATGGGGCAGCTCTTGGGGAAAACATTCCTCTCTAGCACCACCAGGCTCTGGCGATTTGTTTAACGGGCAAATCTGGGTTTCAAACAGCGTTGCTGTTTCTACGCTAATAAAATGGGGCTAGTTAAGTGAGGGAAAACGAGCATTTCTTCTCCCTCCTATTAAATCTGGCCCTTTTTATTCAGCTGTGAGAGATGAGCCAGTACTTTTCTCCCCAAACATGGCAATAAACCACAACCAAAATCTCACACAAAAAAAACAGGCTTTTTAGAAAATAGGAGTCTGTGGAGCAAAATGCCATTTACTTCTCCCTCTTGTGGCCATGGGGCCAGGCAATGACAGGCTAGAGGTAGAGCAGGTGACTCACAGAACAGTGCCCTCAGGGAGCAGCTAGACTGCCCTGGAGGGTCTCCCTTCCCCCTCACCAGCTGCCGTGGGTGGCAGAGGTGTGGGAGCTGGAGGGCTTGTACCAATAGGCCCAAACCGTCGTGTGGCTCTTCTTTTCCTAGTGTTTTTATTCAGAGATGGGTCAAAATAGCAGAGGGCCTGCCCTCATTGTGATGTGCCCTTTGAAATAAAAAAAAAAAAAGCCATGTTCATCTGAAAAGAGATACTAAATCCTCACATGGGCAGTGTCCTTACCTTAGGGTCTCAAAAAACACCAGTAGATAGTGCTTTCCTTGACTGTCACTGCTAGGGGTAAACGTGGCAGGTGAGGGATGGAGTCTCACTGGAAGCACATGGCCTGCTCCAAATGAGAGCGCTGGGCAGTTGCAGAGCCAGGAACAGGACACAGGGGTTTTACCTGCAGCACAGAGACCTTCAGCCCCCTCATCCCATTCTCCAGACTTGAGGGGGCAAGTCCAATAGTCCACTAGCAAGCCGCACGAGGGAGTTAGTTTGACCCTTCCTGCTCTTCCATTACACTGTCACTGCCCCTTCCCGTGCCTTTCACCTGTGTCATTCAATGGAAGGACAGGAAAGGCAGTGTGAGGTAGGGTCCCGTTAAGAACAGGAGAACTGGGTATGCTGGGGGGGGGTGGGGGGTCGGGGGGGGGGGGGGGGTGTGTGTCCCTCACCTGCCCATTGTCACCCCACTTTCTGCACACTTCTTCCTCATCATTCAGCTCTGATATGACTCTTCAGACACCTCATGACATTCATTTCTCTCAATGAAAATAAATGACACCACATGCTAGACGGCAGATAAAGAATAATAAACACATTTTATTTGCCACCTCTGAAAAAAAGTCCTTGACTTCCGGTCCATCCATCAGGAAGTGGGTCTGGAACTTGCAGCTATATTCTTACACACACACACACACACACACACAGAGTTACAACAGGCAGAAAAAACAATCAGATGGTATTAAAACTACACACTGGAATGACTGAGAAGGGAGCAAGGGCTGTTTTCTTACTTCCCTCTCCTTTCAGTGTTTTTATAGCATATCCTGAAAGCTCCGTGGAAAACAGGCATTTGAAAAGACCCCATTGCACACACATTTATTGATATATATATTCCTTAAGCAACCCAACAGGGTTTTTTGTAGGACTATCTTGATGTCATCCCCGGGCATGGCTATAATAGTGCCATGCAGCAATTTTAGAGGAGACCCCTGGACATGGGGCCAGGACCCACAGAGGCCTGGTTTACAAGCCCTGAGAGTGGGACCCCCTTTGGTTCTCCATCCAAGGTACCTTGCTGGACTCATGCTGGTCTCCGTCCTGCATAGACAGACATTTGGCCGCAGGCTTCGTCAGCCCCAGAAGGATGTCAAAGAAGCAGCAGCATTGAGTTATTTTGTAATATGTTTCTCTGTACTTCTGAAACTAACTTGATATTGTGTGCTTTATCTAGAGTCTGGGATCCAGGGTTTCTGAGAAGAGAGGAGCCAGATCAATGTATTAACGTAAGCTAATAAGATGACTCCTCGCTGCCTTCTGGGTCACGTAATACTCAGAGGAGAACTGGAGACTAACAGGGCTCCACGCTGTCTCCTGGAATACCCTTTTACCAAAGAATCAAACATTGGATTCCTCCTGTTCGGGTTTGATTCATCACCTTCTCTGTTAGAGCAGTTTCAGCAAAGTCCTGTGTGGGTAAGCCCAGCCTGACCCACATGTGCTGCCCACCTCGGGACTTGTATAACCTGTCATCTCACAGCTCATTTCAAAGTCTCCCCAGTTTACAACTTTGATTTCTGTGAAAATATAACCTCTATGGGAAGGTGTGGGATTTTATGCTGTTGTCAGTCATTCCCACCTAATAAGAAGGTTTTGAGATGTTTGGATGGGAGGGAGAATAGTGGGTAGGAAGTTCTGGGTGTGAGGAAAAGTTAGGTGGGAGAAGGGACATGTGGGGAGGAGAGGAAACCATGGACATCTTTGATGGGTGCCCATCGGGGGAAGACTATGCCACTTCTCTGGAACTATGGTAGGAGCAGGGATGAGGGATGCACTTCCGGAGTTGAGTAAACAAGGTGGGCACCCCTGAGATTTCTTTTGGTAGATGGGGCTCATGGGGAGGGGGTCTATGCAAGGGTTTCACTTCCTGTCCTCCTCTATTTCCTCCCTGTCAGAAAGCTTTTTAAACCAGAGCACCTCTGATTTCTTTCTTGGGGCTTTCTGAAACTACCCTGATACCATCATTGTTTAGGATGTAGTCTAGGATCAGAGAACAGCCAGTCCAGCCTCTTCATGTAGACATCACTGGACAAGTCAGGTAACCAGCGAGCTCCGGGGCACCTGGCCATTCATGCTCTCTCTCCCAGGTCTTCAGTTCTTGATCCAGGTTGTCTTCGGGTGCCACATAGGGGTGCCTTCGTGGGGGGGGGGGCGGGGGGGGTTCTCATTAGATATGTGTGTATACTTTGGTGTTGGGGAGTGCCTTATGTCATCTCTGACCCTCGGTCCCTCGGATGAGATGGTCCGCGCCCACATCACCACCTTTGGAGGAGGCTGAATGTGCCTCGCTCCGAGTGCGCATCGTGCGCGGGTGTTACGGTGTCTGCACCCCTCTATCCCACATCACCACTGTCAGGATGTCTCGGGTCAAGCCAAGGGGACCCAGGAGGGTGTCTGCACACATCCGCGCTGGGGAGAGCGGGCAAACCCGCGGCGGCGGGCGTGTGCCTGTGGGGAGGCGCCCCCTGCCCCCTCTGCCGGCCGTTCTCCCTCGGTCTAGATGTCAGCCGCGAGCTCCGAGCCAGCGAGAGCGAGCCAGAGAGGGAGCGGCGGCGGGCGGCGGGCGGCAGGCGGCGGACGGCGGGGAGGGGAGGAGGCGAGGCGAGGGAGGGAGGAAGGGAAGCAGGGAGGGCGGGAGGGAGGAGAGGAGGACCCAGAGAGCGCCAGGCAGCTGGAGTTTTTGCAGCGCTTGGCCGGGCTTCAATGCACAGCAGCAGCGAGCCGCGGCGGCAGCAGGCAGCCCGGGAGCTCCGGCGGCGGCCGAGCCAGCGGCGGCCCGGCTCCCTGCCCCCTGCAAACTTTGCGAGCAGCCCGCCCGGGGGGCCGGGGGCGCGCCCGGGAGGCCCGGCTCGGACCGCGGCCGCGCTCTCGGCCGCCGCAGCGCCAGCCGCCGCTGCCGCCACCGCTGCAGCCCCGCGCCTCCCAGGGGAGCAGCCGGTGGCTCCCGCGGCCCCCCAGACCCAGCCCCTGGGAACTACCCGGCGAGTCCCTCGGCAAGGGCGGGGGCAGCAGCGGCGCGATCGGCAGCGGACTGCCGGGGGGCGGCAGCCGCTGCCCAGCCAGGCACGCAGAGGCGCCGAGAGTGCTCCGCGGCGGGTCCCCAGTGCACTCGCCGCGCCCGGGCAGCGGCCCGACCCGGCGAGCATGGGCGGTGCGGAGTGACGCCGCTGTGCCCGCTTGGCATCAAGGACATTCAGCCCGCGGGGGTGGGGACGAAGGGGGGCAGCCCCGCGTCGCCACTGCAGCCCCCGAGAGCCGCCGCTGCTGCTTGGGCTCCGGGGCTAGGTGGAGGAAAGGGGTGCTTGGAATTCATCCACATTTTCCGACCTTTTTGTTGGACATTACGCCCACCTTGGACGCTGCAAGAGGAGCTGTCAAACCCCGCAGGCTCTGATTTGGCCCCCTCCGCTTTCCTTGGCGCTCCCGGCTTCCCTGTGCCTCGGTGGAGTATTTGCGTTCGGGGCTGGGGCTGGAGGAGGCAGCCACACGCGCGCACACGCACACGTTCAGAGGAGGGCGAGAGGCAGCGGCACAGGCACCATCTGCAGTGTCAATGCGGCGCTCCCACTGAAGGAGGGAAACGCGGTGCTTCCAGGTAAGGAACCGATCGGCTGGGACGCGGGGCCGGGCGGGCGGCGAGGGTAGCGCAGGCGAAGATACCGGGTCCGGTCCGGGAGTCCTCGCTGCCCCGGAGCCATCCCATTGCACACACACAAACACGCGCACACACAAATACACACAGGCACACACTGCGCTCACGCACCTGCCCACGTCCCACCTGGACACCGGCATAGGTGCAGCGCGGCCGGAGCAGGGATTTCCCGTGTTCTTTCTCCTCGTACGCTCCGGGACTCAGACTTCTCTTACCCAGGACTTTCAGGGTGGGATTCGGTGTATGAATGGCTCTCCCTCCCACCCGGGTAGGATGAGGGAGCGATATTTCAGTTTCCAACCCCTTTCATCTCTAGCTGGTTTTTAAAACGGGAGAAGTCATGGGAGGTCTTGGGAGACCCGCCCAACGCGATCGCTGCTCTGTGGCCTTTGGACACCCTGAGGTTTTAATGAGAGGCAGACTGACAGATATTCGGACAGAATTTTGGAGAGCGAGGTAGCCCCGCGCACCGGGAGGAGGCCACATAGGCGGATGGGGCTGCAGTTCTGTAGGGCGGTGCATATGGAAAAGACACTGCGTTTCCCCAGTAAGAGGCAGCACAAACGCCTTTCCAAAGCGTGGCACTGCTTCCCGGGAATGCGCCGGGATTTCAGGCAGGAAGGGGTTTCAGCATCGCGTCGCTGGGGTGTGTGTTGCTTGTCTAGGGAAGGTGCCAGGGTCAGATCCTCCTTAAAAGGTTTGACCTTATTCACATCCCCAGTCGCTAGGAGACATAAGCAGACAGAGCTTGGGACTCAGGACTTGGGTCTCCCTCTCACCTCCCTACCCTTTCCCCTGTCTCTGGCCAACACCTGTCACATGCCTTTGGAGGTGTGGGTTTGAGAAAAAGACCTAGGAGCCGGAGCCAGAGGGGAGTAGTCTTCAAGGGAAGAAGGTCCTCTCTCTCATGACCACGTGGGCAATGCCCACCGTATGAGGTATTCTCGGGTCTGGCAGCGTCCCCCAGAGCCTTGGCTGCTCCTGAGAGTAGAAATCTCTCCAGAAGCCAGTGCTTCCAGTTTTTATTTCCCAGAACCTTTCCCTTTCCTTTTCTCTCAGGTTGGAGTTTCACAGGCTGCTCATTTTCAAACTTTTCCAGGAGGAGGAAGAAGGTAGTTGAGGTTCCAGAGGGACATTTTCTTAGTTCCCATCTTGGCTGCCTAAGAGTAACTCATTTAGGGGTTCAGTTATTGTAAGAAGAGTGGGAGAGTCAAATAAAACAGTATTTCATTATTTCAGGGTTGAATATCCATATAACAAGCTTCTATATTTCTATAGCTGTCTCTCTGAGGTGGCTTTTTGGGCAACCTGTCCCTTCCAAGAAAGGAATAAGCTTTCACCCTCTATATAAGTCACGTGGTCAAAGTGTCCCACAAGCCCACTAATGGGAGAAATAGGTTAGAAGCCTTCTGGAACATGAGGGGCAGGGAGCAAATATTCCTTTGAACAAGAAGGCCTCAGTGCTGGGCACAGAATTGGGGTTGCCTTTAAAAATCCTGAAGATGGATGTGGAAATAGAGGGCTTTTTCTATTCCCCCAGCTCTATTTTCAAACTTTTCAGTTCCTGCAAAGGTTTCTGGCTAGGCTGGGGAGAAGAGCAGACGCCCCAGGAGGGAGATTGTATTCCTGCTGTGCAGTGTGAGCTGCCCTTTGATTGATTGAAAAGGGTAGATGGAATAAAGCAGAGCTCTCAGGCTGGGGAGAGCTCAGTCCATGGAGGAAGAAATATTATTTTCTTTTTAAGAATGGTGGGTGTGTGCACACGCATGCAGATAGACACACGTGTTCTCGGAGTCTAGTCAAATGTGTTCAATCGGTCCCACCATGTGTGATAGTGGGGTCCATCTCTGTCTTCTGGGCTGTGGAAAACTGGCAGTCTCCACATGCATACCCTTGAGTGCGTGGACAGGGAGATCCCACCAACGCATAGGGCAGGGCAGCACATGGCTTGTGGTAGGAATAGTGAGTTCCAGCAACAGTGTCACATCCTCATGGGACATGGAAGAGGCAAAAGTTAAGGTGCAGATCTTCCTGATTTGTCCCTCCCAGATCTCGGCTCCTTTCTCTGCTTCCCGCCGTCCTGTCTTTCCTTTCTCGCGTATTGCAGTCTCAGGATCTGTCATTTTAATGCCAAGTCAACACTCATTATGCCGCTTATAAGCTGAATACCAGGGTCCAAAAATCCCCCACACTTTCTGCACTATTCTAAGGGTACCAGTTTGGTTTCTAGGCCAAGTCAGGCATTAATTAACATCTGAGTAAAGCTGGGTATACATCTTCTAATTTTTTTTTTTCCTGGCTTCATTGCCCAGCCCTGGATATGCTACAGGGTCACTCTCCCTCCATACCTCTTCTGATGCCTTCCCTCCAAGTTCTCCGGGGTCTTCCTCACTAGGAGGGGAGTTAGCCACCCTGGAAAAGGCCCAGGCAAAATGATCCTCTCCACGCCCCTCACTGTTGCTGGATTGTGTTCCTGCTGCTCGAGAACACGAGGTGTGGGTCCCCCATAGCAGCTCCTTCCCGGAATCCCAGGGCTCCCTCTGTCCTCCCGGACTTCATCCTGGATGCCCACTGATGCTCTGCAAGCATTTCCGGAGGAATCAGTAGGCAGCCAACTTGCTTCCTTTCTGCTTCTCGGTGCCTCTCCTATTCTTGCAGCCCCAGCTACAGCTCCCTGCAGACAGGGAAATCTGCAAAGGCAGACTCTGCCTACACTTGGCCTCCGGATTCTTTTAATCACAATGAGGGCTGCTGGGAATTGAGTGGGGGGCTTTCTAGGGCAGCAGCAGTCCTGGGGGTGGGGATTGGGGGGATGGATTAGTAACTACTCTTAGCTCATAGTTATCACCTGGCTTTGATGCGAAGAAATTGCAGCAAGCCTGTCTCCTCATAGCCAGCTAGGGGGCATTTCTTAGCTGCTTCTCCCCATTCTCACCCTGAGAAGGCACCGCACAGACAATGCACATCAGAGACCTGTTGGAGTGGCTCTGTGACTGGCCATGACGGGGCGGCAACATTACCGACAGCCGACCATGATCTTAACTGCGATTATTAGTCTGTGCAACAGATGTACCATCCTCTCCGCTCCTCTGATTTGTGTCTGGTTCTACCCATTGTGAAACTGGTTCTGATCCTGGGCTTCTGAACAGGGTTGATTTCTCTCCCATGACACCCCTTTTTCCTTCTTCCTGGTTTCCTGCTGCCCCCTTGCTAATCCACCTCTTGGCTTTGTAAGCATTTCCGCCTGCCCATTTGCCTTCAAATTTGCGGCACTCCAAGAAATCAATATAACATGAATTTAACGACAGCTGGATGATTAAGTGTTATTTATATTTAAGAGCGGCATTTTAAAAAGATGTCGCGTTAATAAATCAAAAGGCTGTTTGGGAGAGGCACGTGATTAGGGTAATTGCCCTGGAGGCTCCATTGAGCAAGGCTCAGTCCACACAGAGCCCTGCGGACACTGTCTCTTTAAAAGCTGTGAGTCCCACCACTCCCTCCCCCAGAAAGCCCACCTGATCCCCTCTCACGGCCCAGACTCAGTCTTGGGTCTCCTGTCCTTGCTGCCCAGGCTGCAGCATTCTAGTTGTGGCAGGAAGGTGGAGCCAGTGGGGAGCCTGGAGGGGGCTTTGCTACCAGGTGGTAAGGGACGGACCTTCAAGGGAAGGCGGACCAGGCGGATGGGCTCCTCAAGAGGCTTGTCCTAGAGGGAGCAGGCTGCTTCTCTGACTGGTATGAAGCAACTTCCTGGAGTCTACAGGAGGATCCCTGTCCTACCATCATGTGGCATCAGTCTCTCTGGGGAAGAGGCAGTGAGGACATTAGTGTTGGTGTTAGTCCTTATGAACACAAGGGAATGGAAAATCATACGAATTAATAATGATAACGGTGGCCAGTATTTATGCAGCGATGGGAGAGACATCATTCAAGTAATTCACACAGGTTGGCTCATTTATTCCTCAGAACTGTCCAGAAAGGCAATCGCTAATGCTATCTCCATGTTTTCCAGGATGACACTGAGATGAGGGAGGCTAAGGACTTTGTCCAAGGTCACACGGCCACCAAGTGGTGGAGCCACAGCTCAGCCCTAAGCAGTATGACCTGGCCATGGCCCCTGGTCACTCTGCTGCTGGCCACCTGACAAAGTATGTGCTCAGCAAGATGCTTCCCAGTGTTTGGGTGAGTGTGCGGGGGCCAGGTGAGAATATCTGGCCCTAGTTTTGCCCTTGGATTATCTCTGACCAGATTTTTTCTTTGAGCCTCAATGTCCCCAACCCCATTCTCAAAGGGAGATGAGTGTTATCCTTGGCTATTGTGTAAAGTTGCAAGCATCTTTCCAGAAGAAGTTCTGTTCCTGAGGGTGAGTGTTACTCTGTTTGGCATCTCCAGTTTTCTCCTGGAAAAAATTAAGGCAGAGGAAATTAGTGAAGGCCCCATCTCTGGTTTTGATTCGTGAATGCTCTAAGTGTAGTTGGAGTCTGGCTCTCCTTACTGACTGCTTGGAAATCCTGGTGCTCTGGAAATGGTGCTTTCTCATTGAATCCTGAAAGTGACTGTGTGAGGCAGGGGTTGTAGAACGTAGGCTGGGAAAGGGCTTCAGTGAGATGCTGCAGGCCCCAGGTTGCAAAGCTTCCCCATGGCTGGTTCACTCTTGGGCAAAGATTCCTACCATTGTGCTACTCATCCACTAACTCTAGGATTCTAGAATTTAGAATCCAGAGGCAGGAAAGAATCTCTGTCATGGATGTCATGCCATGCTGGGTGCCCGAACCTGATGGTCGCTGGGGCAGGGCTCATTAGAAATTGGTGCTAACAGCCTATACAGTCCAGCAAAATTTTGACAGAGACCCAGAAGTGTAGAGAAAAGAATCAGGACCTGCGATAACACAGGCTGGGGTGAGGCCTGAGGAATCACACCTCGATGCTGAGAGATGTGGGCAATA